GTGTGTGTGTGTGTGTGTGTGTGTGTGTGTGTGTGTGTGTGTGTGTGATGTAGAGAGGCAGGGATAGAGTCCCAAGGAAAACCTCAGCTGTCATCATCTCAGGTGATACCACCCATTTTGTTGGCCTTTGTTTTGCTTTGAGACAGGGTTTTTCACTGGTCTGTAGCTCTCTAAATACGCTAGGCTGACAGGCCAACAGGCCCCAGGGGTCTGCCTCTCTATCTTCTACTGCGATTAGAAGCATGTACCGCCATGCCTGGCTGTTTTTTTTTTTTTTCTTGATTTATTTTTTTAATTTAGCAAGTTAAAGATACATATATGTGTGTGGTATATAACGTATAGAGTAGCTGGCCCAGCTTATTTAACCTGGAGCATGGTTCTCTCCCTATGCAGCGTGTATGTCTGATTCCCCCATCACAATAGTACTGCCTTTTGTTACAGAACAACCACATTTCGGAGTTGTCTGACTATTTTGATATCATTTACCTTGTTCGTCTAAGCCGCAGCCATCCTGTGCCCCGGAAGCCATGTTTAGCCCGTGTACACTCATAGCAAACAGGAAAATGCCTCTTGTTCATGCTGTCACTATTGAAATGCCTTGTGCTTAAGTGTGGAGGGAGGAAGATCTAACACCATCTCTTGTGCTCTTTACAGAACATGTGCACCATTGAGGCGGACCTGGAGAGTCTGCTGGGAGAATTCTCCATCAAGATGAAAGGTAATCTTGTTCAGGGAGGGAGCTCCACAGAGCTTCGAAGGAAGACATGGTATTCCAGAATACGGTCACTGCTCTCTGGCCCAGCAGCTCATGTCAAGTCCTTAGGAGTCTCTCCTTCATGCTGCCCTTCACACTTGAAAACCATGTCTTTTATGGGCCTATGTCAACCAGACACAAAAACTGAGTGAGTGAAACAGCTAACCTCAGAATCCATCCGCCAGAGTCAGTAAATCACCAAAACTTTGCCACGTTTTCTTTTCCCTTTGATGAACTAGAAAACTCCAAAGGAAAAGCCAAGTGTGTCAGCCAGCGCCTGTAAACTTCAGTGCAGTTCTGAAAGAACAGGGACATCTTATGTAACCGCAGTGCCATGTCCTGCTGTCCTATTATCACATCTAACAGAATTAACAAGCCTTTGTTATTAACCTAGTTCTCTGGCAGATATCCCCAGCTGTCTCAAAAAAAAAAAAAAATGCTTTCTACACTTGCTTTGCTTCAATTAGGAGCCACAGGTCCGTGTGTTATAATTAGTTGTCAGATGGGCTCCCTTTAATCGAAAACAAATGTGTCCTACCTTCTCAACCTGCCTCTTGACCACTTTTGCACTGTCATTTAGTCATCTGTTTGTTTATCTACTTAGGACATTTTCTTTTTATTTCAAAGGCAAAGTTTTTCTGTGTGATTCAGGCTGGTCTCAAATTCAAGGCAATCGATCCTCCTGCTGCAGCCTGCCAAACACTGGGATTAGAGGCCTAGATCCCCTCCCTGGCTGTCAAGTAAATCATTTAATTTGTTCCTTTGCTCCCATGTTGCCGTGAGTCTGTGGCGGTTAGTACAGAGCGTTCTAATTGAGAAGCATTGCTGATTTAGGCTACAGCATCTTTGGCACAAAAAGGAAGTGTGGTTTCAGAAAAGAAACTTCACCTAGATGTGGTCAGATTTACACTGCAGTGTTCACAGTGTCCATTGGGACTTTGGGACAGCCATCACAGACTGTGCTTTTCTCTCCCATGTTTGGGTTCATTTGACTGCCGCTGAGCAGGCTGGGCCTCTGCAGTCCTTTCTCTGGATTGGTTTGCTAGTTGAACAGTTTACTCCCTAGATTGCTAGTGGGGATTATTGCCTACTTTCCACAATGAGGAGTGTGCAAGGGGGAGACTCCCTTTAAAAAGGGGCTCGGGGTGTGGCTGTAGAGATGGATACATAGTAGTTAAGAACACCAGTGGTTCTTAAGGAGGGCCTGGGTTCAATTCCCAGTGCCTACCTGGCAGCTTAAAACCGCTGGTAACTCCAATTCCAGGGGATCTGATGCCCTCTCCTAACCTCGTCAGGCAGCAGGCATATTTGTGGTGCTTGTACATACATGCAAACAAAACACTTCACCTATGTTAGGCATCTGCACCTTTCTAACATTCGTGGTCCATTTGCTCCCACTTGGGTCTCTACCTAAATCAGTGGTTCAAAACCACTCTGGACCCAGGCTCCCTCTCGGCAGTTTGCTACAGCTAGGATGGAGGTTCTAAAGGTCTCTTTAAACTTTCAGGATGATTCTGGCAGCAGCCTGCTTCCTTGCAACGTAGCAGAGTGAAGAGAGGGATAATTTCTTCTTTTTCATATGTGGGAAGCCAGTAGCCAAGAGATACTGGATGACTTCTCCAAGGTTGTGACACCCAGTAAGCTGATGTCAGACCTGAAATTGAATTCTGGGGTCCTGGCTCTTATGTTGATTTACTTTTCTCATCTCTGTGACAAACACCTGATAAAGAGCAACTTCGGAGAGAAAGGGTTTGCTGTAGTTTGTGGTTTGAGGCGGGGACAGTTGGTCATGGCAGGGCTCATAGCTGTGGGGGTCTGCGGCCGAGAGCCCTCGAATTTCCCAGGACCAGGAGCAGACAGAGGACAGTGCTGGTGCTCAGCTCACCTCCCTCTTTTCATTTTATTCAGTCCAAAACTTCATCATGCAAGATGTAGCCACCCACACTCAGGGTGGGTCTCCTAAATAAATTGACCTTGGAAACACCTCACGGACACATCCAAGGGGTTAAGCCTCACTAACTCTCAGGGCCTCTGCCTCCCGTCCCTCCCTCCCTTCATTCCTTCCTTTCCTTCTTTATTGACAGTGTCTCATGTAGCATTTGCTAAATAGCTGAAGCTAGCCTTGAACTCTTGCTATTCTTACTACTCACTACCCACTAAGCACTAGGATGATAGCCACTGTTATGTAGTTGGCATAACGATAAAGTTACATTTTATTTTGCTGAGAGTCATCACACAGGCTCACACTCTTAATTCCTAACAGTCCTAAGCCTGTCTCCCCAAGGCTGCTCACCTGTGTAATGTATCTTAGCTGAAGGTCAGGTCCAGTTGCTAACAAAAACCTCCAGTTTGAGGGCCAGGATCCTAGGAGAGACTCTTCAGCTTCAGGGGTTCCTGATTAAGCTGTTTTTACGTGTCTAAAAGGCATTTTTTTACTATGCTCATTACTGTCGCCCACCACCACCGTGCCCAGCCTTTCTACTCATTTTTTATTCCACAAATTTGACCACAGAAATTAGCTGTCACAGCTACCAGCACAAGGCCACCTCAATGCCACATTATGACTCTCTGACAAGCAGACACTATCAACCATCAGTCAAATGCTGATTTTCCCTAGAAAAGGGATTCCCTTCACCCTAAAACACAGGCACACAAAGGGCATAGCAGCAAAAAGGGTCTAGCCACCCACCCACATTATCCAAATCACAGACATGGATGACCTAGGAAAGGGGATGGTATGGGGGTTCTGCCATGGGTGGAGATATCCTGGCCACCGACTGTGAACCAGGTGCCTTGGGCTGAGGCGGTGAATGCTGGAGCTTTCTGCTCTGCTGTCCTTCTGCCCACTTTTCTCATTTGCTTCCTTGGTTACCTTACCACCTCTACTCCCCTAAAGTAAAAAGCCCAGAAACTTCACCTGTGATTGCACATGTACACACACACACCATCCCCTTCTCCCCTCACAAAAGGAGTGAGAAGGCCTCCTGGCTCCCGTGACGTTCTAGATTCCTATGAGCCACTGCCTGTCCATTGTGTTTGGTTAGTATATACCCTCCAGCCCCTACCCTCACATCCAAAACCAGACACTTTTATCACGTTCTCTGATCTGACAACCCCTCACTTCCTCGCACCACACCCTCCCACACTTCGCTTTTGCTCAACCCCACAACTAACAAAGGTATGAAAGGCAGCTAACTAAGGTATGAAACTAACTAAGGTATGAAAGGTGATGGTGATGGATGAAGACTGGGAGAGGGGGAGCAAAGCTGCCAAGCTATGCATGCCTGCCTTTACAGCCTCAAGTCCCTGGACACCACAGTTTTCTGGAGATAGGGGTTGGAGAAATCTCTGAATAACACATCCTCACTCAGTGGGCATACATGAGCAGCTGGACCAATCACATAACCAAACTGCTGTGGAAGCTTGAGCCCAGGGTAGATGGAGGGGTGGCTGGAGGCAGAGGCAGGAGGGTCTGTGTGCAGCGCTAGCTCGGGCTACGTAGTGAGATGTCTCAAAAGAAGAAAAAAATTAAATCAGGTTTGGTGATCCATGTCTGTAATCTCAGCACTCTTGAGGCTGAGGCAGGAGGATTGTTGTGAGTTTGAGGTCAGCCTGGGCTTCAGGCTGAGACACTGAGAAAGAAAGAGAGAGAGGGAGAGAGAAAGAAGGAAATAAAGAAGAGTGAATGAATGAATGAAATTAAGAGAAGGTTTTTTACTGAGGGAAGGTTTGAGGGGTGGAGAAAGCTTTCTAGAATAACCTTTGACTAGAACAAATAAGCTGAAAGTCCTTCCTGAAGGCAGGTAAGCTTCCCGAATCTGTCAGGTAAAGTGCTGTGGCCCCTGTGCTCTGTAGAAGTGCTGTGTGGAGCTGTTTGGGTCCCATCCTGAAACCCCCTGGGTGCCCAGCTGAGAAATGGATTCAGGACCCCGAACCAGGATGGAAGCTAAGAATGTCAGTCTCTTACAGAAAACCATTTTCTTCCCAATCATCACCTCATTCAAATGAGTTCCGGGAGCACACATGTACAAAGCTCAGTGCCAGCTAGGCATCATGGCTTTTAGGGCAAAGCCAGCCACTGGTGAGCTAGGAAATCTGCCCATAAAGCAGGAAGGCCTGTGTTAAGACACTCAGCTGTCAGGTCCTTGGCAACTTAAAGTAGGAGGTGGCACTCTCCAGAAGGTATTGACAGAACTGGGAAATGGCGGAGGACTTCCCTGACTGAACCTGAACCATGTCTGAGCAAAGAGAGCCAGTGGCATGGGGAGCCAGATGGGCAGCTGTGTGTCTGTATAGCTGTGTGGCTTATAGCTGTGTGTGTGTCTGTATAGCTGTGTGTCTGCATAGCTGTATGTGTGTTTGTATAGCTGGGTTACTGCATAGCTGTGTCTCTGTCTGTATAGCCGCGTGTCTGTATACCTGTGTGGCTAGATCAGCAACTTTTCTCTACTGTGATAAACTCTCTGAAAGAAGCAATGTAGGAGGTTTAATGTTTGGAGGAATTCAGTCTACCATAAGAGCAGAGCTGTGGTAGCCACAGGGTCTTGCAGCTAAGGTAGGAGTCAGGGTGGATCAGTAAGCCAAGCAGGGCTATTAACCTCCAGTCCCACCCTCCATCGTCTCATTCCTTCCAGTTAGGCCCTAACTCTTAAAGAATCCGCAACCTCCCTGAACAGAGCCATCCAGCCGGTGATCAAACATTCAAACATGAGCCTGGGCACATTTCATATTCACAAAGCCACACGGGGCAGCACCCTTTCCTCCGTCCAGGCTGTGGAGGAGCCATTCCCATGAGTTAAAAGGATCAAAAAGATGGAAGACCCATTTGAGGGAACCCAGTGGCCATCAGGAAAACTTCTTAGCTGATATATCAGTTACTGCCAAGCAGCCGAGAAAATGCTGAGCTTCCTACAGCTCTGGAAATGCCAGCAGGGCTTCAGGCCAGAACTGAAAGAACCCTGCCAGGTCCCAAAGACCGGTTGTTACTGGCGCTGCTCCAGCGTGGGGGCTCACCCTGCAGCCTGTACCACGGACACCATTACCTGGGGAGCTTTGAAAGGCATTTCCTGGAACTGGTTCCTCCTGACTGCTGTTCTTCTCCCTCTATCGCTGTCACCAGAGGATGGGAGACTCCTTGCAAGGAGGGCCAAGAGAGTGCTTTCATTACATGAGCAGCGAGGCCCAAAGTTCATCAGAACCACGGCCCTTCCTCCCCATGGAGCTCTTCACATATGAAATTTCTAGTCATTTTGAGAAGGGAGGGGGACTTGTCAGAAGACTTCCCTGCTTCTTCCTTCTCCCACTTTGTCCATCGTGGTCCATGCTCAGCTGCCCAAAAGCATTGTCCATATTGTCACCATATAGGTGAACAGGCAGCGGATTAACCCCAAGCTGATAATTTGTAGGTTTTCAAAGGGTAAATCGGGTTCTGTTGGTTTAGCAGATGAGGCTTTGGATTCATGAAAGCCAGCCAACAATGCATTCTTTCAAATGTATTTTTGTGGGGGCAGGAAAAAAAAAAAAGCCTAAATGCTCCAGAGCTATTCATGAAAATAGCTTCCTCCAATCCTGCTTTTATTACAGTGGGTGCTCCTAAGTGGCTCATTAGCTTCTAATTATTAGAGAGAGCTGGATGGATGGGCTGGCCAACTAAAAGGCATGCCAAATTGGCAAACTGCTGCCATCTACTGACGAATGATGGTAAAACTGGATCCATCTTGACGCTCCCCCCCCCCCCCGATTTATTTGAGATTCTCACAGTCTATTAATTGAGCCATTCACTGAAGGTAAAACACACAGTGTAACATCATCCTTGTTATGTTTACATGAGTAAAATGCTGTTTGCTAAAAATTAAAAAAAAAAAAAAAACCACACACACACACACACACACACAAAAACACAACCCTGGGCAGGGGAGACATCGTAAAGCAAGTGTAAGGATCTGAGTTTGGATCTGCACAACCCACGTAAAATGCTGGGTATAGCGTCATGTGATTTTAATGCCAGCTTGGCAGTGAAGGAGCAGGGTAGTTGAGACAGGTAGATAGGTCCCCATGCCTTTTGGCCTTCCAATTTAACCAAACAGCAACCTCCAGGTTCAGTGGGAGCTCCTGTCTCAAAAAATAAGGTGGATGAGGCAAATAAAGGAAAGCAATATCAGTTTTGACTCTGGCTTCCACATGCCCCAGCACGTGCTTACACACACATAAACACACAAGCATGTACAAACACAGGAGAAACACCTCCCAGGGCCCAAAGGTTATAAATGAAAAACATCTGTGCTGATTTTGTCACTGCAATTTTTGTCATAAAATTTTTTGCATGAGAAAATTAAAACGCAAATAAACACTTTCACCCTCACACGGTGGTCTTTCGGGAAATATCCAAAGGAAGAAGTAAAGGGGTGGCCAAAGCTGGGACTCCTGAGCTGTCCCAAGATGATGCCATCTATTCTGACAAGATGACTTTTGGTGCCAGAGCAGATAGGTGTACAGTAGGCCTCAAGTGGAGCAATCCACCTCAAAAAGACTTGCAAATGGCACAGGGTGGGGAAAGCCACCTTGTGCTGGCTGGTTCTGCCAACTTGATATAGGCTAGAGTCATCTGAGAGGAGGGGGCCTCATTTGAGAGAACCAGCTATAGGCAATTTTCCTAATTAGTGATTGATGGAGGAGGGCCCAGCCCGTTGTGGGTGTGGCCATTCCTGGGCTGGAGGTCCAGATTCCTGCCCCGTTTGAATTCCTGCCCTGACTTCCCTTCAATGATGAACAGTGACAGGGAAGCTTAAGCCAAATAAACCCTTTCCTCCTCAAGCTGCTTTGGTCATGGTGTTTCATCATGACGACGATAACCCTAAGACAGTCCTCTTTGTTTGAGGGTACAGGCTGTTGGCAGTTGCTCAGTTGCTTGGATTTGGTTTGTTTTATTTATTCATTTATATTTTTATGTGCATTGGCATTTTGACTGGATGTATGTCTGTGTGAGGGTGTTGGCTCCTGTAGTTACAGAAAGCAATGGGCTGCCATGTGGGTGTTGGGAATTGAACCCAGGTACTCTAAAAGAGAAGTCAGTGTTCCCAATCACTGAGCCATCTTCCCCAGCCCCTCCATTTGTTTTCTTAATTGCCACTTTGGGGTACATTATAATCCAAGCCTAGCAATTTCATAACAACAAACAGTGGCATCATTATGCTGCATAAAAAGAATGAGAAAAATAAAGAAGTGAGTTGCCACAGATAAGTGATGGGCATGGGAACAAGGACTCACAAGGGAGGTATTTAGTGTCACAGATCTTGGGACAGAAAGAAAAACAAGAGGCCAGTTTATTTTCATGGGAATATTTTGGTCAGTGAAAGACTAGATCACTCTGGTTCTGCTGCCCTGATCCTGACATCTGCCAAAGGTACACAGAGTCCCAAGTACCCAGCAGCCCTCCCAGTCCTGGGAACCTCCTCCCACCACCTCATCAAGGACTGTCCCTGCTGGCTTTGATGGATGGAATCCCTTGATATCCCCTGCAAAAGCTCTTCTCTAAAGATGGTAACAAATCGGTGACCTGAGTTTTCTCCAGTTTCAGATAATACTTGTGTTTTTAACCCATAACAAATTGGGCCTCTAAATCGAAAAAAAAAATGTGTTCTGTGCCTCACAACCCAATCTCTTGTTTACAGGTCTGGCTGGCTTTGCCCGCCTCTGTCCTGGAGATCAATACGAAGTAAGTAACATGGTGGTCTGCATGTTGGCACTGGGGGCATAGAAGGGCAGGGGCTGGCTATAGTTTTGTTTGTTCCTGTTGTTGCTGCTGCAGCTGATTTGATACTGGGGACTGAACCCAGGAACTTGTGCATGTTAAGCACTGAGCTCCATCAATGTTTTCCTTTTTAAAAAAAAATAGTGTGTGTGTGTGTGTGTGTGTGTGTGTGTGTGTGTGTGTGTGTGTGTGTGTCTACGTCTGTGTCTATGTCTGTATGGGTATATGCACATGAGCACAGGTGTCTACAGAGACCAAAGCTTGAGTTTCAGGCAGTTGTGAGCCTCATGTAGATGCTAGAAACTGACCTCAGGTCCTCTACAAGAGTAGTTTGTGCTCTTAATAGCTGAGCCATTTCTCTACACCTACTCCTCAGCTTCTTCGAGCTCTGTGAAGAATTTGGCTCACTGGTGTCCTAGTGGATGACCCCAGGCCCTGAACCACACAGGTCACTCTGGGCATGCTCAGTGGTAGGAGATCTCCTTGATAGTTCTTGGGCCTTGGGGATCCTTCCACCTGACTATGCATTTGGCATGACAGGTGAGCATGTACCCCTGCAGCTGGTGCTTCCCAAATGATTATATGAGTTTTTCGCTCATAGGACGGGGGCCGTAAAGTTGCTCAGGCTAACCTTGAACTTGTGAACCTCCTGCCTCAGATAGGAGGTCAGGCGTGCACCACCGGGCCTGGATCCAGTTGTTAATGTTTTTGCTTGTAACATTCTGAGCAAGGGAGAAAGTTTGGAGGGTGATCTGAGGACCCCCACATATGGAACATGAGCCCATCAGTACTGTGATGATGCTACCTGGCTCACTACCAGTCACAACCCTTCATCCAAAGGACAGTCATTCACATAAGCCCAACACGGTTCTTAACACATACAAAATTAGCTTTGCCTCTTCAACAGATGCCATCTGATAGAAGAGATTCATGTTCTCCCAAGTGGCCTCCAATTGCACATTGTAGCAGTTTTTCTTTCTAATCCAGGATCTACTCTAGGATCGTGACTGAGTCAAAGTCTTATGACTGAAAACACCTACCAGCCATGTCCAACTCATGGCCTGTGGACTACATGCAGCCAAGAATAATATAAATTTGGCCTGACACAAAATCATAAACTCCACACATAGAAGATAATCTTGGTGTGTGTGAAAATATTTGGTAACTCAATTGTGCAGGTCTTGAGTGTGAACTCTGTGTGTGACAATGACATCTGATCAAGTACTTGCAATCAGCATGATAGATCATACCTGAAGGGACTGTTATTTGAGACAACCTGAGCCACATAGTAAGACTTTGTATCAAAAACAAAACAACCAAAATGTTGGTAGAATAAAAAGAGAATGCATGTACCGATTTCATCACCTCTTTGCAAAAGCTCTGAGGTCATTCACAACAGCTGCCCTCTTCTGCCCAGACTGTGGAAAGCCTCAGCCCTTACCAGTATTACCAGGGAGAAGACTTTATTTCTCTCCTCTGGCTACAAGTAGAATTGGAGCTGTTTTTTGTCTCTCTAAATGAGCTGGGGTGGTCAGCAGATCACGATGTATTGACGCAGGGTAAATGGCCAGTTTCACATGAGTGGATAGACTGAACCCAGCGCTATGATCTCTTTTTAAAATACCCATGTAGATTTATTTATTTTATTTTTACGCTTGTGCGTGTGTGGTACCTGCAGAGGCCAGAAGAGGGCGTTGAACCCCCTGGTACTGGAATTAAAGTAGCAATCAACCGTGATGTGGGTGCTGGAAACCAAACCCCAGTCCTCTTAAAGAGCAGCAAATACTCTTAGCCGATGAGCCAACTGAGCCAACTCTCCAGCTCCTGCTACTATTCTTACTAAAGAAATGTGCACACTCTCAGCTAAAGAAGCAGAAGGCACCCTTTAATTAGGCCAGATGTGCTGACAATATCCCTTTACTATGATCACTCAGGAGTCAGATGTGGGTAGAGTTCTGAGCTGGAGGCCAGCCTGATCTACTAAATGAGCTCCAGGCTAACCAGGGTTACATAGTGAGGCCCTGTCTCAAGGAAATAGGAAATAAATTCATTAAATTGAATCCCATCCACACTTCTCCTAGACTCCACTGAGAACCCAGCCTGGGAGGCAAGGAGGGAAATAAAGGGCAGATACCCGTTTCCTGGCCCTTGGGTCTTGGCAATTAGGAGGGAAGGTGGAGTCTGGTGAAACATGAGGCTGCCCAATGTCTTCACCCCAGATATTCATGAAATATGGCCGGCAGAGGTGGAAACTGAAGGGCAAAATAGAAGTGAACGGCAAACAGAGCTGGGATGGCGAAGAAACGGTCTTCCTGCCCCTCATCGTTGGGTTCATTTCCATCAAGGTACAGTGGCCACGTTGCCTTTTGTTATCCTGCCTGATGTCCCTGGGTGGGAGCCCTCTATCCCATAGGCTTCTGTGCAAAGCCTCTTATAGTTGAGCTGCTCTCAAAGGCAGGAGGCCAAGTAACTGTAGCAAAGTAACATTTTAAAAATACCTGTCAGATGTGTTTCTGAAATAAGGACTCAATTCACAAAGGGGGAAAAAAACACAAAGATAAGACTTTTCTCCTCTTCTTCTCTCACCCCAGGTCACAGAACTCAAAGGACTGGCAACTCATATCCTGGTTGGCAGCGTGACCTGTGAGACCAAAGAGCTGTTTGCAGCCCGACCCCAGGTGGTGGCTGTTGACATCAATGACCTTGGTACCATCAAACTGAACCTGGAAATCACCTGGTAGTAAGTTCCTTTGTTCAGGTTCATCAGGGAAAGGCAAGTGCTGATGGCCAAAGCTGCCCAGGGCTGGTGCATGAACCATAGTATCAGCACGGAGCACTGGCCACCTCCCAAACTGCTGCCTTAGAGTCGTTTAAACTGACCAGGTGGCATGCCCACAAAGCCCTCCTCTTCTACCACCTACGTTCCATTATAACCTGGTGTGGGGGCACACGTCTGTGACCTCAGCATGTGGGAGGTAGAAGCAGGTGGGCCAGAAGTTCAAGGCTAACCTCAGCTTCATGGCAAGTCTGGGCCAGCCTGAGCGATACGAGACCTGTCTCAAAAAGTCAAATGAAAATAAGGGCAGGGAGATGGCTTTATGGATAGTACTTGCCACGCAAGAGTGAGGAGCTGAGTTTACTCTACAATCCATGTAAAGCCAGTTGCCGTAGCTTATGTCTGTAATCCCAGAATTCCTACAGTGAGACAGGAGAAATACAGGAAGCTTATTTCTACACAGCAGCCAACAAGAAACGCTGTGTCAGACAAGTTTCAAGAAGAGGGCTCACACCTCATGTTTTTTGACCTCCGCATGCATGCTGTACCCTCCTCACATACAAGATTTTTTCACCTGATGAGAAAGATCACAGCCCTTGGCTTGTGAGTAAACATATCACGTTGATATTTGCAACAGAGGCCTCCTTTACAAATCAAAGTCAGCTGTGGGAACAGCCAAGCCCCTGCTTTCGTATCATGGAAACAGCGTCAACGCCCGGTGCCTGGCTTTTCTGTGTTCACCATCTGTGGTCACTGATGAACAGGAAAGGTTACTGTCCCTGCTGGGTTACAGGATGTCAGTGACCAGCATCCAGGACAGCTGAAACCACTGTGATTCTGCTTCCCTTAGCACTGAATGACAGTCTGCTGGTCACTTGCCCACCCAGACAATGCTCTGAGGAATCTTTGTTGGCTTTGCCAACATCCTGTTACACATGAGCAGCTAATCCACTGATGTTTCTAACAGTCATGGGGAAATTGGCATAGCCATGCTCAAAGCTTCAGTATCAGGACTAGTGTCAGTTTTCTGCTTTCTTTTGCTTTATTTGGACCTAGTTTGGTCCAAACCAGCCTCGTTCCCACTGGAGTAGTTGATATTGTCACAAGGAAAAGCCGTCTCGCCCCACCCCAGACGAGAGGTGATATTGACAGATATGCTGACCTGAGAACCTACTGTTTTACAGTCCCTTTGACGTGGAGGACACAACCCCGTCGTCAGGCCCTGGGAACAAGACCGCTGCTCTCCAGCGGAGGATGTCCATGTACAGCCAGGGCACCCCAGAAACGCCTACCTTCAAAGATCACCCCTTCTTCGTAAGTTCAGTGTGATTCCTGGCTGAAACGATAAGGCTGTGGAGTTCTGGTAGACTTTGAAATATGGACCACCCACATGAGAGGTTTTCAAGAACCGGGGGGATGGCTCCGCAGTTACAGTGCTTGCTATGCAAGCGAGGGCTAGAGTTTGGGTCACCAAAACACACATAAATGATGGATGGGTGTGCTGGCCCACTTGTAACTCCAGCCTGGCAAGGCTGAGATGGGAATCTCCAGAGCAGGCTAGCTTGTGAGGCTAGCGAGATCACAGAGCTCTGGGTTTCGTGGAGGGAACCTGCCTCCGTGAACAAGGTGGGAAAGTAATGGAAGATCCCTGATAGCAACCTTGGTACTCCTCACCTGTGCATATAAACATGCACATATCTAAGCACGCACATGCACACCACACTCATAAACACATGGAAAGACGAAAAGTATTTCCTAGTGGTCACCCTAATTGTGCAGTGACTAAGGAAACCATGTTCTGAGACCCACGGCCCCTCTGAGTCCAGGGATGGCTTTCTCTGCCTGTCTCTCCCTCACTCTACTTCACCCTTGGCTGGGAAATGGCATGTAGGTTTTCCAAGCACTCTTTGACATTAATCTTTTCGAGTGTACTTGAACGACACCTGCTTGACTTCATCGAGCCCTGCTAACTACCACGGGAAACCCCGTTAACCTGCTTCTTTCCACTAACTTCCCCATCTCTCCCTGACTCCTGAAGAGGTGGTTGCGGCTGTCTGTCTTGAGTGCCTTGCGAGACACTTTCTTTGCCACGTTGCACCACAACCACTCTGTCGGTGACCTGCCTTCCCTCAGCCTGAACCCCAAGGCCCTGCTAGAATTCTATGTGAGTGTGGGCTGCCTGGAGTGATGTGCCTGACTTCACGAAGCCTGTGCATGCAGCCTGGCATGACTCTCGTGTCTCACCTATCTTGCTTGCTGGGTGAGGGTAACTGTCCTGTCCTTGGGGTGGGAAGCATGGTCATGCATGCAACTTTGTTGCCCTTTTTTCCAACAGTTCCTGGGTTTATGATGTGTGTGTGTGTTTTTTTCTCCATGGTAACAAGATTTTCATTTTTAAAAACAAACAGTTGTATTGGGGCTGAGGATGTAGCTCAGTTGGTAGAGCGCTTGAGGCCTGGATTCTAAGTTCAACACCTCATGAACCAGATGTGTTGGTACACCTATGATCCCAGTGCTCAGAAAACAGAGGCAGGGGGGCGGGGGTTGGAAGTTCAAGGCCATCCTTCACTACATGGTCAGCTCCGGGGCCCAAGTTCCTATGGGGAAAAGAAAAGAAAAAGGAGGTAACCGAGTTACCACTGACATCAGATTTCCAACAGCCGGCACTCAGGGACTCAGGGATTTGAAGCAACTTTGCCATAGCTGCTTCTGTTTAACTGCCTGTCTTATTTGTTCATTCCATCCTGCTCTAGTAAAAGAAACCCTACAATTCATAGAAATGTAACAGGTAGCCTATTTTCATGAATTACATATTATTTTCAAGAGAATACACAGACAAGCACACATACATATGAGACATGCACTGCTCTTCATTGGAAGAATAAATGTCACCTTTAATTATCCTGGGAAGAAATTAAGACATCTGACTAATAATAACAATCACAATAATTATATCAACAATAATTCACCAAACTAGAAATTAAGGTGAAAAGGACAGCAGAAATGCTCATGGAGTTTCCGAGGAACATAGGAAAAATGTATAGGAAATGTGTAAAAAAAAAAATAATAATAATACCAAAACCCAATAGTCTGATACACTTGTACAAGGAGCTATCAGTTTGCTGGGCATTCATGCTGATGCGATGTACCTTGGAGGGCTACAAGAGTGTCGAAGTTACTTGCTACTTGTGACTAAATACCTGATGGGAATCAGCTCGAGGCAGGAAGGGTTAATTTGAGTACACAGTTCAAAGGGCACACAGTGGAGAAGGCATGGTAGCCTGCCTAAACAGAGCTGATCACGTTGTGTTAGCAGTCAAGAAACAGCAATGAACACTGGTACTCAGCTCTCCTTCTCTTTTATTCAGTCTGAGCCTGTATCCCTTGGAATGCTGCCACCCACATTCATGGTGGCTCTTCCCACCTCAGTTAACCCTTTCTGGAGACGCTCTCATAGGTATACCCAAAGGTGTGATTCCACAATGGCTCTAATTTACTCAGGTTGACAATGGAGATCAGCCATCATGGGAAAGTTGATAGAGGTTGAACAGCATAATTTAAGCAAGATTACAAAACAATGGATGGGTGTTCAAGGCCAGCCTGGTCTTCAAAGTGAGTCCAGGACAGCCAAGGCTACACAGAGAAACACTGTCTACGAAAAAAAGAAAGAAAGAAAGAAAGAAAGAAAGAAAGAAAGAAAGAAAGAAAGAAAGAAAGAAAGAAAGAGGGAAGGAAGGAAAGAAAGAGAAATAAATAAATAAATAAATAAATAAATAAATAAATAAATAAATAAATAAATAAGAGGAGGAAATAAGACACTGGGTCACTTCCTATAGGGTTTGGGAGAACACAAAGGTCCTCAAGGCAGCTATTCTCATCCACTGATAGCCCACCCCAGCAGATCTCTTTCCCCCTCTCCTCCCTGCCCTTTCTGTATGTTACATAGCTCTTCAAATGTTCCACATTCTTTCAAGAACTCATATATGTCTCTTCCTCCTGTCCAAACCAATCTCCATGACTTGGTTCTAAAACCATCTTTTCCCCTGCTAGGTTTCCTGACCCGCAGGAGTTCAATGGGGTCCTAAAGGGGGGGGGGGGGTGAAAAGAATGAATGGACACAGAGACGCAAAGAAGGAAGCCAAGTCTGTTTGTCTGATCAAGGCCTCGTTTATTAGAATTTTTTACCCAGCTTATATGGGGAGAAGGCAGGAAAAGGGGGAAGGCTTAATTACTGCTGTGGGAGACAGCAAGAGTGCTTTCATGGCTTGAATATTGCAGCTGCAAGATACTGTAAGGATGTTTTCTTAAGATATCTCACGGATGCTCTAAAATTAACAGACAGATATCCTCACAAATCTATCACCCATGACTTAGGGTCCTAGGTAACTCTTTCACTAAATAGCTTTAGGTCTCCACTAAATGACCTTTGCTCACTATTTGGCTTTGGCTTCAATAAATAGCTTTGTCTCCACTAAATAGCTTTGTCTCACTATTTGGCTTTGGCTTCAGTAAATAGCTTTGGCTCCCGGCAGCTAGGACCTTGACTGCATGACATACTTCCCAATACATCTTTTGTCGACCAAAGTAAAATCAATCTAGTCAAGAGCTAAGAAGGAATTCTGTGTCTATGTCTGTGAAGACTACGACGCCTGGAGATCAATGCATATGTGCAAGATGTTAGGAGATGTGGCTGTTTGTAGTTTAAGCTTCAGGAAGCGTTACGTCTCGTTGTATCAAGAATTGTGATTGGTGACATAAAAGCCAAACTGTTTTGAGATTAAGGGGGTGAGCAATTTTGGGAAGCAGTGGGGATAGCTTTGCAGTTACACAGGCTAGTAAATGTTCTCCCAAACAGTGTGGATAGTTTGCAAGGTCATCAACTAGCCAGCTCTTTTGGAAAGTTTGGCTGTATGCAAATCCTCCTGCCACTTTTAGAGCCTTGAGGCCATACTACTCCACTTCCATTTCCTTCCTGTGGGGTACCTGTTGGTAGGTGTGTGTCCTTCATAACTTGTAAGTCTGTGCGAGCAGGGCATCTGAACTTAGTACAAATAAGTATTTGCCACTGAAGGAAGCACAAACTGCCCCTGGCCACCCATCCCTCTGCTATAGCCCGAAGTCCACCCCTGATGCAGTCAAGGGCTGTGTGCACAGAAGTTCAGGCTAGGCTGTGCAGAACTGTTAACTGTCAGAGAACGGAACCTTTGGTAAAGGGCCTAAGGGGTTTTCAGAGACCTTCCAGCAGTTTCAACTCTGATCCTTCACCCACCAGTTCCCCAAACTCTCCCTTTTATCTTTACTGGGAGAGTAAGGGTGGAAGGGAATGGGAAAGCCAGGGGAGGAACTCAGACTAGAAAGGAGGAAGCAGTGCACAGGAGCCTGCTGCCTCTGAGCACTCAAAGGAGGACAGCCTCTGTCCTGCTGTGTTCCATTCACTTGTCATTGTTTACTGGGATCATTACTGGCATGACTGAAAATTCTTGATTTAATATATAATCAAAACAGACATTAACTTAACACCTACCACACACAGTTATCCTTGAGTGTGTCCATGGAATTGATGTCGGGACCCAATCAGATACCCAAATCCACAGAGGCTCAAGCCCCTTATATCAAATGACATAGTGACTGAATAAATTCCCATGAACACACCCTACCTCCACCCCACCCCCCGCACTTCAAGTCATCTTATGAACTAAGTATGATTCCTAATACAGTGTAACTGACGGGGAAACCAGTTATTCTACCGTAGTGGATAATGGCAAGGCGAAAGTCTGTACGTGTTCCAACTCTTTCCCATCTATGGCAGGTTTTCTGCATGTCTAGAATTGATGGATACAGAGGAACGTAAAAGCCTAATCTGTAGGATCAGTAAGGTAGCTCAGTGGGTAAATGTGCTTGCCACACAACCTTGGCAATCTTAGATCAATCACTGGTGTCCCTCAACCTCCACATGTATTCCTTGGCATGCACACACATACACACACACCAATAATTAATAAACAATTTTTCATTCTAATTTATAAGCTAGGGAGTTGACTCAGTAGATAAAGCACTTGGCGTACAGGCATGAGGAACTGAATTTGGATATCCAGAACTCACAGAAAGCTGGATGTGGTGGTGCATACACTTGTAATCCTGGTGCTTCTTTAGTGAGCTTCTCTCAGAAGAATTGTGAGACGCTCAGAGGCCAGCTACCTGGCCAAACTCAGTGGTGAACACACACACACACACACACACACACACACACACACACACACACACGGCATGGGGGTGACAACACACATTTCATCCCAGCACTCAGGAGGCAGAGGCAGGAGGATCTCTGTGAGTCTGAGGCCAGCCTGGTCTACAAAGCGAGTCCAGGACAGCCAGGGCTCTGTTACACAGAGAAACTCTGTCTCGAAAAAACAAACAAACAAAAAACAAATACACACACACTGACAAACTGACATATACGCTATGTACATGGCCCATACAGGCCATGCACACACACTACACACACACACACACACACACACACACACACACACACACACACACACAAAATAGTGGTATTCATAGTCATGGCTGTCAAGTACTGTGAGATCCTGGGATTTATAAAAACAAGCAACATCCCCACTCACCCTCAAAGTGCATGTGAAAAATGTCAGACCTAAGAATAGCACCATGAACTTTCACCTACATCCAACAATGGAAATAGTTTTTAATGGTTTGTTTTCCCTTGCCTGCATACACACACATATCAGATAAATCGCAAACATTAAAGAGTTTTGTCTTAATTGCTGTCCCTCTTGTCTGGAGATGAACCGTGCCAAAGGTATCATGTCATATCTTTCTCCACAGTCAAACCTGCCAGATGATATCTTTGAAAGTGGAAAGGCAGCAGAAGAGAAAAGGCCGCTGTCCCTCAGCTTCAGTGACCTGCAGGATGGAGACTGTGTCTTCACCTCCAGCTCAGCCACCTCTCCCTCCAGCTCACACTCAACCCATCCGGAGATTACTGTCACCCCTGCCGAGCTCACCCATGGCAGCCTGTCCTCACAAAACGAGGGCACAGAGGACAGCAGCTCAGCGTCTTCTAGGAATTCCTTGGGTGAGGACCACGAGCCAAAGTCCCACCTAAAGAGTGAGATGGCAGAGCCCAGGAAGCCTGGCGCGGCTGCACGGTCTGAGAGCCTGTTCCTGGAGAACAGCGTTGCAGAGGCTCTCCTACAGGAATCAGATGAGGCTTCTGAGCTCAAGCCCGTGGAGCTGGACACTTTTGAAGGGAACATCACAAAGCAACTAGTGAAGAGGCTCACATCAGCCGAGGGGCCCATGGCCACTGAGAAGGTTTTCTTTGAAGGCTCTGTTGGCAGCGAATCAGAAGCTGGCCGGTCCTTTCTTGATGGCAGCCTGGAAGATGCCTTCAATGGACTCTTCCTTGCATTAGACCCACACAAGGAAAAGTACAAAGAGTTCCAGGATCTGAACCAAGAAGTCACGCGCTTGGATGATATTCTCAAGGTAAGTACCTTCCTGAGAATTCTGGTTTGGTTTGGAAAAATGCATCCTAAACCTACATTGTATTTAAGATAACAAATCTTGTCCGGTCACAGGACCACAGTGTAACTGCTATATAAGTGGAGGTGATTTTGTTTTTAATCCATTTACTCCTATCAATTCTTATTTTCCTGACAACAAATCAGCTTAACTAAGTGGATTAAGCATTGGTTTTTAAACTCTAAAGAAGGTCTAAGAATAGGGAGATGGCTCAATGGCCTACTGACCTAGACCAACACATCATTCTTAAGTGATAGGTTCCTGAGAGGAAGGACCTGAGGATGATAAGATAAAGAAGGTAAGAAAAGTTGGGGTCAAGAGGTCTTGCACAGTTATGTCTTATACCAAGCAGGTTTACTAGTAAGCACATCTTATATACAATTTCCAGTGGGGAAAAAAAACAAGGTAGACTCAGCAGAAAATTATAATACTACGAGACAAAGTCAGCAGAAAGCTAATAAAGCAATATGGCATAAAGGAAAGACAGGATCTCTCAACTGTGTCCCAGACTGAAAACACAGTGGCCTAGGGACTGATAACCATAGCCCTTTCGTGAGAAAGCACTGGGTTCTCAGGTTCTGAAGCCATTGCTTCTGCAAGGCCCAGGCCCTAGGCCATCAGTGGCCTTGCCAAGCATATTCCTGGTTTTAGGCGAGGAACTATATTCCAGGGCCTCAGAGAAAGCCTTGGATCAGCCTGGCCTCAAACAGCAAAGAGTTTACTCTGAAAGCACAAAGACCTGAGTTTGATACCCCCCCCCCAGAACCCACATAAAAAAAAGCCAGGCATGGCTTGAAATCTCAGCAGAAGCAGGACCCCTGCAGTTTGCCAGCCGGACAATCTAGTCTACACAGTGAGTTTTGTGCCAGACAGAGACCCTGACTCAAAGCAAGATGGCACCTCAAAAACAACCCTAGATGTTGATCTCTGTCCTACATATGTACAGTAGCACGTGAGCATGAACGCCCTCATCCATTTGTATACACACATCCTCCAATATCTCCACATGCATGTAGAGTCTACATGTGACATACTAGTGTTTATTCATCACGGTCTTAGAGATGCTGCCAGTTAGGGTCTTTCTGAGGGTACCAGGGAAGCTGGGGACATTAGCCCCAAGGTAAGGATCCATCCCCTCTTCTCACGGCATCGGCTGCTGAGGGTACTTCCTCCTGAACTTGACCTAAACCAGAAAGCAGAGCTCTCAAAGGAATCAGTAACAGTTCACCTTTGCTCATAGACTAGAAGCCAGTGAGCCACAAATCCAACTAGACAGTTTTATCCATACCTGGTAATTGGACAAGGTTGAGGTATGAAGGCAGGAGGGAGGGATGAGATCCCCTACAACAGGTTATCTTCATGATGGTGTCATCGCAGCTATATCAGGATGAATCTGTCTGTATCTGACATACAGCTACAGACGGCGTAGGAAGACAGGAGTACATGGCCATGTGTTTAACCTTTGTTTCCCTGCTCTGATTGATTATACGGTCACATAGGATTCCTCAAAAAATAAATACATTTGAAATTTGCTGCAGCAAGCTGAGGGCCAGCCCATAGGAAGCCCCCTTGACTCTCTGTAAGATGGTCGTACGGCCTTCGTAATGACAAGAGGAGCTACATGCTCAAGACTTTCTGACCATCTTCTCTCCATTCGCTCATACTGACCTAGCTAGGCCTCTGACACTCCAGGTCCTCCAGCTTCACTATGGTTTCATTATAGAAAGAACCCCTGAGAAGCAGGGAAGGGCACTTAGAATCTTCCCCCTGTAGCTTAAAAATATGCACCCGGAGCTCCAGCATGGAGGACACATGCATCCACAGTGTCTGCGTGGTTGACTAGCTTTGCCACGTAATCAAAGAGCTGAGGCACACAGTGACCACGGTAAAGAAAGTACTCTTGAAGGAAGGCAGTGGCTGGGTTTAATCTTCAGTGAGAAGCGTATGGGTTCAACAGCCCTAAGCCTAAGATACTGATTAGTAACTCAGCTCTTCAGGGTCCACTGAGCTCATTACCTGTCCAACTGTGGTGATCTCAGAATCCTTTCTGGCTCAGTCTGCTATCATCCAGCACTGTCCCAATACCACCCTAGTGAAATCCTCATCCACCTGTCTTTTTCCTACAACCCATGTTTGAAGCCATCTTTGAATTGCGTACAAGATCTTACTACATTGATGGCAAGCTTAGGAAAGGAGACTCCAACATCAGGCTGAATCCATACCTGTTCCCCTTTTCTCCCCCAAATAACAATGCCATTAGGAGCGTAGGTCTGGGGCAAGTGGCTTCCGCCAGACAAAGCTCTCTCTTTTTCTTCCTCCTTCACATTCCTAGGGTGCTAAACATCTTGAGGATCAGAGACTCAATGATGCTGCTTCCCCGGATGGAGATCACTGAGGGTGAATGAGACAGCCGTGACCTAAAAGACTGAAAGACATTTCCCCATGTGCTTCTGTGCCATCCCAAGTGACTGGGACAGATCCCCACAAGGCCCTACCAACCTTGTGCTAAGAATCAGCAAGGGGATCCTCCTAGCCGGACAGAGGACATTTAGTGTGTCTTCTTTGCAAGACTTGTCCTGTTCACCCCACATCAAGTCCTCTTGAATATGTGGACATGCTTCTCTTCTCCAGGCCATAGCCACTGGCGCTGTCACCCTGTCTTGCTTCTGTTTATGTCCTGCAACTTGCTGTAGAAGGAACTTGTCCCCACAGTTCCAGGGCCTGGTTAGAGGGTGATGGGACTAGTTCCTTTTAAGGCAGACCTCCGGGGGAATCAAGGTCCCATATGCACAAGTCCCATTTGTTCCTTGGTGCTCAAAGAAACAAAAAAAAAAGCATCTTTGAATTGAATGCAACATGGTAATGAAGGGCTTCCGGCCTAGGCAGCCTAGGGCAGGTGTATTTGAGCAGTTTTCTTTTCCGGAATTCGTTCTGTCAATCCTTTACAGCCTACTTTAGACAGACAGCTCCAGGCATGGCTCTCTGCAGGCAGCAGACACTGGTTCTGGTCAACAGTCAGCAGTGACTCCCTGGTTTTTAAAGCTTCTCTGCTGGATTGGTTTTAAAGAATTTTATTTTGAGACAGACTCTCACTAGCTTGCCTAGGCTGGTCTTGAGTGCATGAGCTCAAATGGTGCTCTCAGCTCAGCCTCCTGAGCTGCAGGTACATCCTATGGTGCCCATTCTGTTTTATTTGTTGATGAGGGCTACAGCAAAGGAACAAGACTTTCAGGTTGTCATTTTTTTTAAGTTGTTATTATAGTAACACAAGTTCAAACAGAGGTGTATCTGCCAGTCTGCCAAAAAACCTCAGTGACTGCCAATAGCCCCCAGTGACCCCAGTGACCCCCCAATGACCCCCAGTGACCCTCAGTGACCTCCAGTGACAAACTTACCTCCAGTCCTATCTCTTCTGTCATTCCTGTGTGCCTCCCTCTGGTTTCTGTTAGAACAAATCACAACTGTTTTGCCATTTTCTCTGCGGTTGTACTGCTTTTTCTCAAGATGAAGGCTTTAAATGCCAACCAAAATTAAAGGCTTGGAAAACTGTAAGAAAGTGTCACGTTTCCCATGGGTGCCCCAAGTCCTGCTGTTCCCCCCCCCCCGACCCCCGGTGTGTTGATGGTCTCTTTGCTCCCTTCTGCCTTTGCAGTGCAAGCCAGCAGGCAGCCGCAGCAGGTCTTCCAGCCTCAGCCTGACAGTTGAGAGTGCTTTAGAAAGCTTTGATTTCCTCAACACCTCTGACTTCGACGAAGAGGATGGTGACGAGGTCTGCCGCGTCGGAGGAGGAGCAGACTCCGTGTTTTCAGACACTGAGACGGAGAAAAATGGGTGAGTGTGAAGACGTGTGCTTGCGTTTCCCCTCTCGGAGCTGGTACAGTCACCGTTTGTTTACGTCAGGGGCTGCCTGGTACCCATCTCCAGGATGGCACCTGTCCAGTCTTACATGTTCTATCCATGTCCAACCTTACAGGCTTGGACATGCAACCACATGTGGCCCAGGACAACCACGAATCAGCCTAAAACAAAAGCATAAACTTTTCCTCAGACGTTATGATATTGTTTTGTGGGTTTTGTTGGTATCTAGATGGCATGGTTCTTGAACATGGACTTTGTAGATGACGATATTGTGCCAAAATGTCCAAAGGCTGGGCATACATGCAGGATGACTTGACTTGTGGGTCCTTTTGATTGTTAAGTACAGCTTCTAAACATTGTTGACCCATTGGAGGTTACATAGGGAACGCAGATCCCTTTTATTTCTACGAAGTGTTTGTGTGATTCGTGTACACAGGCATGTGTGGTGTAGCGTGAGGGGTTTACACATGTGGTAGAATGACCACGTGTGGGTCATCCTAAATTAACCAAGTCAGGTGGTACCACGCGTGGACCCCTGTCCCTGCTGTGCCCCATGCATCCAGTGCCTTCCAGCTGCTGAGCTGTGTTCGCCTGGCAACCTTCTCTCTTTCCTTGCAGCTTTCTCTGCATAAGGTCAAAATCATTGGTGTGCTTCCCAAAGCCAGGCCTAAGTCTCTCTATATGGTAAAGATGGGGGCTTGGCACTCCATTTGATCTGTGTCCTTCCGGGTAGGAAATGTGTCACTTCTCCATCAAGCGTCTCCCTGCAGCCAAGCTGATGTTCTTAGAGCCAGATCCTGGGCCCACTTTGTGATTTCAAATGAAACAAAAGAAACTTAATGGGCAGTTCTGACCTGCTAGGAAAGAATCCAACACTTAACAAAGGGAGGGGTGGTCTCCTCTGGCTTTACCTTTTTACAACAGAAGTGACCTAAGTAGGTTTTCAGAGTTCAACACTGATGGATGTCCAGCCTTATAGAGGCATCATTGAGGTGGTATTATTTTTTTTTCTATTGCTGCTTGTTGCTTAGAGGTTTCTGGTTCCAAAATAAGACCAAGTTTACACACACACACACACACACACACACACGAGAAGAACAAAAATTTATTTCTTGAGCAAACTGGGAATAAAAAGAAATGAAATGTAGAAATGTGATATTTAACCTATAGTTCTGCATGTTACGTTGGCATTTCTTTGACTTGACTCAATTTGCATTTCTCCACTTAAACTCTTCTGCACACCTGTTAACCTTTGCTGTTGTATATTGTACACAAAGATCAGGCATAGCTCTAAACTGGTGTCTTTTAGCAAAAATGGCACCTCTTTTGTACATTCTATAGAACACTGATTTTAAATCTACCTAATCAAATTGTTCTTACCATATGTGGCCAGAGGCAACAGGAGGAGGGATGTGTGTGGTCTGTGCATGTAAATGTATGGGAGAGTGTACACACCCATGAGCGTGTATGCATGTACATGAGTGTGCACATATGTATGAGGGTGTTTGTGAGTCCGTACATATGACTGTGTGTGGCTATGTGGTGCGTGACTGAGTGTGCATTGAGCATGTGTGTGCATGTACTTGCGCAAGTGTGCATATTAGCTGTGTACATGTTTTTTAAATGCGTTGGCCCCAGGGTGCAAACTGAGCATGGTTCTTAAAGGCAAAAATGTGAACAGAAAGCATTCAAAGCTCCTAAGATTTCCGTGTGATCCGTTCCCATTGTGGACCTTGCAGAAGAGGAGGTGAAAGGTCAAAAGCTGTGTCACCGCATGCCCGTGAGCACCAAGCTCTCGCATCAGCATCCTTGCTCTTCAGGCCTTCCATGGATAAACTGAAACAAACACCCCCTCCCTTTTGACCATATAAAAAGTAAAATTAGTGGGCATGGGGGAGGGGGATGAGGTGAGGAATGAATGGGAACAAGGTATGTAGACTGCCAGGAGAGCCCATTTCTTTATATGCTAACCTTAAAAAAAAAAAAAAAAAAAAAAAAAAAACTAAATTAAAAAAATCCCTCAAGACATAAAAATGGGCTGAAATATAAAACAATTTAAATGCTAAATTTTGACACAACTGTGGAAAGGATAGTTAACTATTATAAAGACTCTGGGTCTTTCTGGGGCTAACACGATACCTACCAAAACTTCAGCGAAGTGCCAGCAACATATCTCAGTAGGAGCAGCTGTTGCCACACAAGCCTGAGTTGCCTCCCTGGCACCAGAACGTGGAAGGAGAGGTCTCAGTGGACAAAGCTGTCCTCCAACCTCCAGGTCACACCACAGCATACATGCCTCTCTCTCACAAACACAAAATGATAAGGTTTTTTTTGTTTTGTTTTGTTTTTAGTTTCAGCAGAATTAGTGCATAGGAGAGACATACCAAATGATTCTAAAGTGTAAAAATAAGTTCCTGCTGGGTGGTGGTGACACACGCCTTTACTCTCAGCACTTGGGAGGTGGAAGCAGAGGCAGGCAGATTTCTGTGAGTTGGAGGCCACCATGGTCCACTGAGTTTCAGGACAGCTAGGGCTACACAGAGAACTTGCTTAGTATTATATATTCGTTTTCTAAGTCTATTCATTTGCCTGAAATTTTGTGATTATGTTTTGTATATATGTACGTATGTATGTATGTATTTACTAAGTTTTCATTACCTGTTCATCTATTGATGGACAATTAGTTTGGTTTCAATTCTTTGCTGTTGCAAAGAAAGCAGCAGGTGTTTCTAGTTCTTACTTTCTTATGGATTTTTCAGTTTGCATACAAATATATTCAATAATAAAAGTGTGAAGCTCCACAGCTTCAGAAAGCCTATTCTCATTGCATAGATGTTCATTGAGATATAGAGACTTCAGGTCTGGTTAATTTTGGTATATAATACCAAATCTGCAAGGACTTTTATAATAATTTTGTATTTAAAAAGAAAGAAATTCACTGGGCAGTGGCAGTGCACACCTTTAAGCCCATCACTCAGGAGGCAGAGGCAGGTAGAGCCCTGTGAATTTGAGGCCAGCCTAGTCTACAGAGCAAGTTCCAGGACAGCCAGGGCTTTACAGGAAAACCCTGTCTTGAAACAACCCCCCCCTCCAAAAAAAGAAAAAAAAGAAAAGAAAGAAATTCATTTTAAAAATTCTATATACTTAGATCATATAATAATCATATAACCCAGATAAATATAACACTTATTTGTAATTTTGAAACCATACAGTAAGACAAAACATATCCATTGAAAAAAGAATAAGCTGGCCATAGTGAGATCTACCTGTAATTCCAGCACTTAGGAGGTGGAGACAGGAAATACAGAAACGCAAGGCCAGTCTCAGCTACACGGCAACTCAGGACCATGTGAGAGAAGGAAAGAAAGAAACCTAGATCACACACGGAATCAGACTTTTTATTGTGAGTGTCTGTGAGGATCTAACTTCAGACTGTATGACAGTGGGGTCTAAAGAGCACGAGAAACAAGACTGAGCTGCAATCTACAGAACCTTCTCTCCTAGCATCTGACTGTTCACAGTACTGTGTGTCTGCCCTTGGCAGCTTTTCCTTCTTCTTGTCTTCAAGTGGCAATTGGCCTGAGGCCAGAGGAGGGCCTGTGAGATCACTCTTTAATGGAATCACTCAGAGGAAACCACAAACATAGGACTGTGAAATCCCAGGAAAGCTGGCAGAACCCCCGTCCACAGAGTGGGCCAGTGAAGCAAGTGCAGAATAAGGGCACAGTTGAAAGACCTCTCAGGGAAGCTGGTTCACAAAGAGCCCATTGTGCTCAGAAGGCAAACAGCAGCCTTTGTTTGCATGGTCTTTTGATACTAGGCAAACTGGCACCGTCCCTGAGGTAAGTTGTTTTAGAAAGGTATCTCCGCTTTTGAGAGCAAAGCTGGGAAGGACTGATTTCAGCAGGGACCACGTAAACTCGGCCTGTGGTTTGTGCACAGAAAGAAAGAGCTCATGTTTCACCCACCTTCCTGCTTCGCAGTTACAGGTCAGTTCACCCGGAAGCCAGGGGCCACCTTAGCGAAGCTCTGACCGAAGACACAGGCGTAGGGACCAGTGTGGCAGGAAGCCCACTCCCACTCACCACAGGAAACGAGAGCCTGGACATCACCATTGTCAAACATCTACAGTACTGCACCCAGCTCGTGCAGGTAGGATGTGTGGTATGGGGGAAGTGGGGGAGTTTCCATGCATGCTGTGTGTTTTAGCTCTGGCAAGGAAATGAGAGTTCAGAAGTAAGAGACTGTTCCTGTTTGGATTTGAACCGAGTCAAAAACTCGATGGACACGCCCACCATTTCTTAAGCCTGGGTTTTCAATTTTAAGTTAAACCTAGATCTGCAGGCTGTCGTGGGTGCCAGGCAGAATATGGTCAGTGCTCACATCCAAATTACAGAGTATCAAATGAGAGGGATTCAGCAAAGGTGCCTTCTCCAGGCAGAGTTGGAATCAGTGTATTAGTGAGCCCCCAGTTCACTCCCCAGCACACGCTGTGCTAAGAACAATGTACTACAGAAGTAGGTCACAGTTCCTCAAATAGCAAATGACAGTTTCTTTTTCTTTAAAACAGGGTCTCATGCAAACCTGCTGTATAGGTGAAGCTAGTCTTGAACTCCCGATCCTCCTGTCTCTACCTTCCAGGTGCTGGGCTGGCTTGCAGGCTGGCTTGAACTAGGAATTTTTATGAGCAATGGGAAGGAGCACTCCTCTAGGCTCACACAGGAACACCATAGAGCAAATCTTCCTTCTCGTTTTCCATTTCAAGCTGTTTTCCACCTGAGGTATTACAGTCCCAGAGCAAAGGCTTTGAACCTCTTTTGCAGCAGGAAGGCTTTCGGCTGTCCTGAACAAGACACTTCCCCAGAGGCCTGGATTTAAATGCTTCCTCCTTCCCTGGCTGCTGGTCTTCTCATTGCCTTGATCTTCTCCCAGATTGCATGGATGTGTGTGAAACAGGAAGGAACACAGAAGCAATTGTAATCACAGCTTTACAGAAGAACTCAGCCACGAAGGCAGGCTATAGAAGGAAGAGGAAGGGTGTCCCTGAGGCAGCCAAAAACCTAGAGGCAGAGAGAAGGGTGAGGGAAGGCCAGGGCGTTAGTCACACACTTATGGGAAATATAGAAAAATATCACACACACACCCCCCCCCCAAATAAAGAAGCTTTGTTTGAGCATAGGAGTGCATGCCTGTAATCCCAGCGCTGGGGAGATAGACAAAGGACCATCCAGAGTTCAAGACAAGCCTGGGCTACATAGCAAGACACTGCCTCAAATAAGGAACCATCCGGTGGGGAAACTGAAGCACGGAGGTGCTGTAGGAAATGGGCTGGCTGGCAAAACCCTCGCCTCTGGGCACACCTGGGCCCTGTTGGCAGAACTATGGATTGTTGACGCTGTAGCCAGAACATCCACAGCTGCCTCAAAAGCAAATGGACCAGATGGGGTGCTCATGCCTATAATTCCCACACTTAGGAGGCTGAGTCAGGAGGATCACCACAAGTTTGAGGCCAGCCTGGATAGACTACAGAGTCAAACCTTGTCTTGGGCAAACAAACAAAGGATTTCTGTTTCCTTCTCACTACTTTCCAGCCACCTGAGTGAGATTCTTTTAGGCCTATAATTATCTTTTCTGACTCTGATAATGCACTAGACAAACCACCAGCCATCTTTGAGAGGGAGAGTAGCTATCTTGTGAAACCGAAGAAAAATCCCTTCCACAGAAGGCATAAGTTTGGCCAGCATGCAACAGTCAGCAGCAGTCATAGTCAGGGCCATGAGGGACAGTTCAACTCTCTGGGACGCAGAGCTGTGCTAGAAAAGCGACAGAAGTGCATGGAAAGGCGCAGGCTGACTGCAAACATTCATAGAAGTAACCTTTTTTTCATTCATTGTTGCATATGTGTAGGTAACAATGAAAAAAAAGAGACTGTGAATTTGAGAAAAGGGAGGGGTACATTGGAGAGTTTAGAAGGAGAAAAGGAAAGGGGGAAACAATATAATCGTAATCTCAAAAAATAAAAGAAGTGATAAATGCTCTTCGTGCAAAAAAAGAAAGAAACGGGCTAAAGATGTGAGAATTACAAACTCCACTTCCCACTTGCTGTCACCCTGCAATCGGGGCGTTTCCTTATCACTTGGAATATAATTGCAAAAAGTTAGAAATGGGCATTCTGTGAGCTCATTAGACCTCTCCTTTAGAAATGAGGTGTGTGCTCACTGTACTTGCTCACAGAAAGATGTTAGTATATAATTGCCGATTTTTTGTTTCATTTTGGTTTTTATTTTGTAGCCCAAGCTGGTTTTGAACGGTGTAGCTGAGGCTGGCTTTGATCTGATCTTCACGCTCTGCTTCCCAAGCATTGGGCCCACACTGTTTAATTGTTAGACTTTGAGGTTTGAGAATGCCACGTATTTTAGGGTTCAGATGCTCTAGACAGCATGGTATGGCAGTGTTATTTTTACCCAGGAGTCATGCCTACCAGTGGTTCCCAGGGGACACAGAACAAGCAGAAACAGCAAGTTGCTTAGGCCCTTTCCTGTCTCAGGCCTCCTTTCCTTGCACCCTGCGCACAAATGAAGCCAGTTCTTGCTGATGTGGTCCTAGGCCAGCTACTTAACCTATGTGCCTCAGTCATCTAGCATTTCCTGCAACATAATGGAGCCTTCAATAGGACTCACCTCATTAGGTCATTGTGAGCAATTGTGAGAGCCAAGGCATGGGCAGGGCTCAGGGGGACACCAGGTACACAGACTATGCTCTTGGGTTACACTGGGATAGCTCTGACTACAAGAAAATATATACTATGCTCGAAATTTTGAACTTGAAAACAGGGAAATAAAACTATGCAGTGAAAAACCCAAGCGTTTGTAAAGCCAATCTTTTCTGCTAATAAGCCAGGACAGAACCTCAATGCCCTCCACTGTCTTCAAGGAGATTGAGATTTACATAGAAGGAAGGACAGAGCTGAGCATGGAGTTTATGCCAATAATACCAGCGGGGCGTGGAGGGGGAGGGGAGCTTATGAGTTTGAGGATAGCCCGAGCTACATGGTTTCAGGTCAGTCTGAAACACGTGGTAGAGAATGATGAACACTGCCAGATTGGGACGACGAGAGTGCTGCAGAACTCAGCCGCTGCAGCCTCTTCGGGAAGGGTGCAGAGAGCAAGGTCGCTGCCCTCCACATCATTGAAAGGCCTTTTCTTTGTCTCGTCAGCAAATCGTCTTCTCTAGCAAAACCCCCTTCGTGGCAAGAAGTCTCTTGGAGAAGCTGTCGAGGCAGGTCCTCCTCATGGAGAAGCTGGCGGCAGTGAGCGACGAGAACCTCGGGAACATCACCTCTGTGGTGGAAGGTAAGCCCGCCACCTGCAGGCCGTCCCTGGAACCAAAGCTCGCCAGATGGGCGCATGCTCACTGGAAAGCAGGGAAAGCATCTGCGCAAGCTTCAGCGTCAGCTTCAGCGTCCTCGTCCTCAGTTAAGCCAGGGGCACACCGTTTTTGTCCTGTTAAAAGCAGACAGAACACACTCACAGAAATGGTACCCACCTCCAGGCAGAGATTCTCTGACATTTTCTATTGCCGAGATCGCCTTTAGGGACAGATCATCTGGCTTGTTCTAACTAGCGCATGGAGTTGGCAAATCCTCCTGTGAATGTGAAAGGGAACAAGGCACGGACTTTGTAGCCTACAGAGGAGTCTGGCTCTGAGCGTGTCTGAGGCAGAACTTGCCGAAGGGTGCAATGCGTGTGAAGGCCAGAGGTCAGCTTCACATTTCCTTCTTTAGGGGCCATCCACCTTGTTTTTTAAAACAGTATCTCTCACTGACCTGGAGCTCACCATATAGGCTAGGCTCGCTGGCCAGCAAGGACTTCGAGGATCCCCTGTCTCTGCCTCCCCCGCACTGAGGTTAGAAGTACTATGTCACCAGCTTTTAAATTGTGTATCCTGGGGCTCCAACTTGGGCTTTCAAGGCAAGCATTTTACTCATTGAGTTACTCCTCGGCCCCACAAGCAAAACATGGCCTGGGGAAGATGCCCTTGACTTTATGTGATCTGTGTGCCTGGCTCCTTTATAAAAGCAAGGGCTGGTCTTTTTTCACACTAGATAGAAACAGAAATACCCATTTCTGGGTAATCTGTGACTGGGCCTAAAACGCCCCTGAGGTTCTCCCAATGTATTTTTGCCTCTATTTTCTGTTTCTGCTACAAGCAGGTGACCTTGACAGTGGTGTAAAAGGTTGGAGAAAGGCAGATATGCTGGCTGCAAACGACTTGTGTCCCATGCTCCACAGGCTTCTCCCCCTCACAGTGGGATTGCCAATGCCCACCACCTGCCCGTGCCATGCTGTTTGTTCATTCCGGCCTGAGAGCCACAGAGCAGGGGCAAGGTTCCTCCAGCAGAGCCCGCTGTGTATCAGCCCCTCCAAGGACTTCCCCGGAAGTCTGCAGGACTGCTGATCCCGTCTGGTTTTCTGCTGTAAAACATGGGAGATAAGTGTAGTCTCCACAAGGCAGCCGTGCCTTCGGTCTTGGAGAGTAAATGGCTAAGCATTCACTGAGTTCTCTTTGCTTGCCAGGGAGGGTGAGGATTTTCTTTGGACCACCTGCCAATCCCCAAAGAATCCTATAGTAGTTCCAACTGAAAGCCACAGTCCTAGGCCCCTATGTGGGGACATATCTAACCTCATCGAAGGACACTGAAGCGGGAGGATGACAACTTCAAGGCCAGCCTGTGCTACAGTGTGAGATCAAGGCTAGCCTGCGCAAAGACCATATTTCAAAGTCAAATAGTAAAAAGATGGCTGGAGATATAACTCAGTGGCAGACCATTCATAGGATGCTAGGATCAGTCCGCAGTAGAATACACACATACACAGAGAGAGAGAGAGAGAGAGAGAGAGAGAGAGAAAGAGAGAGAGAAGTTGCCTGGGGCTAGACAAGAACAGTGAGTTCAAGGTTATCCTTTGAGCCCAAACTGGGTTACATGAGACCTAGTCTTAGATAATTATTTTATTATATTATGTTATATTATTTAATTAAAAATAGAAATACAGTTTGTTTGTTTGTTTGTTTGTTTGTTTTAAACACACACACACACACACAAAGCTATAATGTCCCTGGGACACCTCACCCACACACACACACATAGCCATCCTCTTCTTTTCATTAACATCCCTCTTGTGTTCCAGCCCTACCAGAATTCCACAAAAAGCTGTCCTTGCTTTCCTTCTGGACCAAGTGCTGCAGCCCAATTGGGGTCTACCACAGCTCCGCCGACCGCATGATCAAGCAGCTGGAGGCCAGCTTCGCCAGAACCATCAACAAAGACTATCCAGGATTGGCAGAGCCAGGTATAGACAACACTGAGACGGTCTCCTCCCCCACCCTTGCAGCCTGGAGGAGGAGAGGCACACAAAAAGGCCATCCTTAAAAAAGAAAGATCTGCTCTCCAGAGAAAAGAGCAGCTAGTAGCTAGACTACAAAAAGGTGCCGAGTGTGCAAAATGCCAGCAGTGATTTTTTTCTTAAATGACATATTCATTATTTTTCCCTGCTATGACAAACACCTGATACAAACCACTTACAAAAGAGGGGCATATTTTGGTTCACATTTCAAGAGGTACAGTCCATCCTGGCAGGGAAGCCATGGCAGCTGAAGGAGGTTGGTCCAAGGTGATGGGAGCATGTGACTGGTCACATCAGAGATAACAGGAAGCAGAAGTGAGCCCGGTCATAACCCCAGATGCTTACCCTGTGGCCTATGTCATCCAGTTAGCCCCTAAGTTCCAGTGTGCCTGCAGGCTCCCAGCGGCACCCCTGGCTGAGGACCAGGTAACACCTAAGCCTGTGGTAGACAATCGTCAATCCACAAGCACTCGATATCTATATTGCTGCTCGTGTTTGTACAGTTGTCCCTTGGGGTTTGTGGGTGAGCAGTGCCAGAATGTGCCATGCATGGCTGAATCTGTGTTTGCTTACATCCCTTGCTTATGCCAGCATGGGTTTGTGAATAACCTGCACACTTCCTCCTGTATGCTCCATCTGACTTATAACACTTGGTTAGGCAAACACCAAGGAGATGGTTGTTAGATTACATTGCCTGCGGAGTGGCAGCCTTTAGGAGTTTCTACGTGTCCAATATAGTGTTGGTCGGCAGTTGCTTAGATTCATAGATGTGGGACCCATGGGTACAGAGAGCTGATGGTAGGCTTTTTCCATCAACATGCCTCCATGGTGGGGATGTCAGATGGTACAACGGCTTTTGAAGACTGAATCCCAGTCTGTGCCTAAAACTTGAGATAGCAATTCTACTCTTAAAACACATGAAGAGAAATGTACTAGGTGTAGTACTAGGTGTAGGTGCTAGTTTTTTAATTGCTACTTTATTTGGGGGTTCCTTTAAGCTTATACTTCCCTTCAAACCTCCCAACCCCAGGTAAGGGAAAAAGGGGGCTGGAAGGGAAAGGGGGACATTGACCCTTTCTTCCTGCTAGATAGGGTTGTAGTATTCTTTGGGGGGAGAGGCACTAGTAATATCTATCATCAGGAAATCAAGAAGTCTAGGTAACCAGTCAACCAGCAAGCCAACAAACAGTCCTCCTCCATCTCCTTCAAACCACCGCCTTCTTCCTCTGGGCTATCATATTTATACCCCTCAAAGTCCTCAGACTTCAACTAATTCCAGCTGGCAAAGACCACGCTCTGCACGAGGCAACTAACAGGTGTAGACAAACTAAAATCCCCCATGGGATTATAACAAAATCATGTTTATATATCATAAACTGAAATGTCCACAGTATACCCCTGTCTATGTAAGACATGCATAAGAAGATTCACAGCCTTAGTCACTATAGCCAGAATTTGGTGACAATAGTGTGAAAAGGGAGACACTGGAATACAGTGAAATCATAGAGTATCATGGAACATTTCTCGGAGACTCTACTGCTGTCACAGGCTACAGTCTCGGCAACTCTCAGACACTATGTTGAGTAAAATAAACCAGACATAGGAAGAACATACTGCACATTCTGTTGATGTGAAAGACCAAGCACAGGAAAAGCTAGCTAATGTTGATAAAAACTCGGGTTATAAGCTGGGCCTGATGAGGAACACCTGGAATTGTAACTCTTGGGAGATGGAGGCAGGACGATCAGGAGTCTAACGCTGTCCTTGGATACATGTCAAACTGGACATCAGCCTGGGCTACATGATGCTATACCTCAAAAACAAACAAAAAAAATGGAATTTAGGTTGTTTGTTCCCTGTTGGGGGTGCTGAGGACCCCGAGAATACCTGGAGGGATGTTGGCAATCTTTCACGTCCTTACTTACATGGTATCATGTGAGTATAGGAAACAGTGACATATCTGGCTGTACACTAAAGGTCAGCTCACTTTAAGCACTTTCCCTTATACTACTATTATGATAAAAGGTCAGCGAGTAAACTAATGCATGTAAGGATCACAGTGAAAGGTCAATTAGGGGCGGAGCGATGGCTCAGCAGTTAAAACCACCGGCTGCCCTTCCAGAGGGCTACAGTTTAATGCTCCCAGTACTCACGTGACAGCTCACACTGTCTGTGACTCCAGACCCAGGGGATCCAATTCCCTCCTGTGGCCTTCTTGGTCATCAGTCACACACATGGTACACTGACATAGATACATGCAGGTAAGGCAGCGAGACACATGAAAACAAATAAATAATAAATAGTTTAAGTGAATGCATGAACACAAGTAGCATGTTAAAGATGAATGTCTGTAAGCACTACCATAAAGGGTTAATGGATATTATTAGTGCGATGATGAATGAATGAATATATATGTACTATGATATTCACGTCTGTTTTCATAGTGTAGTGGTTATCACATCCATCATGAAATACAGTGATAAAAGATGAATGGATGGATGCGTGAATGGGCGAATGACTGAGTGGTCAAGTTTCTCAAGCCACTTTGTCTCTTCCTTCCCAGTGTTTAGAACCCTGGTGTCCCAAATCCTGGACCGAGCTGAGCCTCTGCTCTCCTCCAGCATCTCCTCGGAAGTCATCACTGTTTTCCAGTATTATAGCTTCTTTGCCAGCCATGGTGTGAGTGACCTGGAGACATACCTGAGCCAGCTGGCCAGGCAAGGTAGGATGTGGTCTCCTGTCATGTTGCGGTAGTGTCTCAGTCTGGCGTCAGCTCTCGTCTTCTCATCAGGACTGTCAGTGACCCTCCACGGCTGGGCTGAGGATGGCCTTTTCAATGGCTTCCGAGCCTTTAACTTTGGTAAACTTCCTGGTATTGGAGCAGGAGCTCACTAAGCACCTTGCTCCCCGGCAGAGGTTCAACATAAACAAGAAACTGGCAGGTGATTGAAAATCTCACTGCTTCCCTTCCTTTCTCAGCCTATTTGCAGTGCTTTTTTTCATATTGCCTTTTGTGGTGAATCCTTATTCAGAACAGACAGAAGGGGACTTCAGTTAAAGACTAGAGTGACGCAGCCGGAAGGGAAAATGAGAAAAGAATGTACGAGGCCGCCTGTTCAAGGAAGGCGAAGGGATGATTAGGGGTATGGCAAGCTCAGGCCACCCTTTCAAATGGCACTTCAAATATCACATATATTATATCTGAATGGAGGAGTACATTCTTCAGAAATGCAGCAGATGCTGGGCAGGAGCTAAAGGGACAGAGGGAATGGGGTATGTTCTCTGAAACGAGGTACAACGCTACTGAGCAGCTGCTTGTCTGGCTCAGATCCAGGTTAGCCCTTCTCTTTGCAGAACATTAAATTCTGCAGCAATGTAGGGGTTGTTTGGCATCATAAAGGAGACATTTCTGCCTAGCATGGGACACAGGTGCTCTAGAGAAAGGCTTGCAGGTGGCATGCCTGGTGCAGAAGAACAGGACAGGGAGACCCTGTCTTAAGATGCAAGACCTCATAGCATACAAGTGATACTAAGCTTGCCAAGTGTAGATCAGTTTTCCAGGCAGGCACGTGAATTATTCAGGGTCTGGTGTGACAGTTATTATTCCTAACTCTCTTGGTAACAGGCCTTGACAAAACCCACTCATTCAGTAGGAATGGAGAATGACGGTAGGGGGAAAATACCTTTTAACATTTGGGAAATTTTGTGTTTGTTTTCTGGGTTTTGTCTTTGGTCTGTTTCGTTTAAACTTTTACCTTCATCTTAAATTATGTGTAGACGTGTCTAAGTGTGAATTTGCGCATGTGGGTGCAGTACCCACAGAGACCAGAAGAGGACGTTGTACCCCACAAGCTGGTGTTCTAAAACACTGCAAGCCATTCCACCTGGAACTGAACTCTGGTCCTATGCAAGAGCAGTATGTGTTCTTAAGGGCTGGGTCATCTCTCCAGCCTCTTATTTTTGTTTCTGTTTTTGTTTTGACACAGGGCCTCTAGCCCAAACTGGCCTCAAACTTCCCATGTAGTCAAGAATTATCTTGCACTCTGACTCTCCTGCTTCTATTTCCCAAATTCTGAGATCACAGGTGTGTGCCACTGGGCACAGTTTATGTGATGTTGGAGATTGAATACATTCACTGAGTGTGCTAGGCTCTCCCAGCTGGGCTACATTCCCCCACCTTCTCTTATGTTTAAGGGTCTTCTTTCTTTCATTCATTATAAAATGAAGCAAATGATAGTTTTTGCATCACAGAAAGTTTGGGAAACAGAAAAATATAAATTCAAATCTCTTTCTCCTACTTGTAAACTTTAATTTTTCATTTGAACATGCATGGTTTTAGATTTCAAAATTGTACCTTCTTTAGGCTGGGATTAGTTTTTTGGTTAGTTTGCTTGTTTATTTTTGCTAGGGGATTAAACCCAGGATCTCCATATTGGACAAGCAGTGTACTCAGAGCTAATGTCCCCAGTGTCATAGAAGTAGTATACCCTGTTCTTAACCTAAAATGCTTTGTACTGTTAAATATTAGAGATTTTAAAGCATTTTATTAGTCTTATATTTGATGGCTCCTGTGTATTTGCATTGCCAAATATTTCCTGTGATTCATTTGTTTAACTGTTACTTAATACTCCCTTGGGGACCTCTATTGGCGTACTTCCTTACAAAGCAGTGGAACTAACAGACATCCACAGCAAAGAAAACAGGAAATTAAAGCAAAAATATCTAGGTGATTCTCACCTTTATTCCCTGCGGGAAGGTGTGAGTCTGTTACAAGAGGTAACAAGAGGAAAAGCTTTGGCTTTTCCTTTCCTGTTTATCCCCATGTTACTGAATAGACACTATCTCATCATTATGTTTTAGAGCCCAAGAGATAGTCTTGCCAGATATCTAGTCGGGGATTAGGCTCCTCTCCTTATTCACAGAATATGGCCAGTTTGTCCCAATGAAAGAGAGACAATTGTGTTTACTACAAATATTAATAAGGTGGCAGATAATGTTTCTTTATATTTTCTTCCTTGTATACTTACATTTGACTCTTCAATTCATTTGTATGGCACTGTGATGAATGCCTATAACCACAGCCCTTGGGAGTGAGAGGCAGCAGGATCAATAGTTTCAGGTCATCTTTTGCTTCATGGAAAGTTCAAGACTGGCCTAGGCTATATAAGCTCTTCTCTTTAAAAAGGGAAAAAAAACCTACATATTTTTGCCACCATTTTAAAGTAGAAATTCAACTTTACATTTTTGCTATAATTTGCCCTCATCATAACTATTTAAATTATTGACCTTTTCTCACTAATTTGAAACACCGCCTTTACATAGACTATCACACACTTGGGTCTGCTCTGCGTCTGCTTTTTACTGCAAACATACATGAAATAGCTGTGTCCTCAATAAGCATGTCACTGCACTATCAGAACATGACCCCTGGCTCCTCCCCTTCCAGTTGCCACGGTTCAGACTCTCCAGTCACTGAGAGACGAGAAACTGCTGCAGACTATGAGCGACCTCAGCCCCAGCAACCTCCCCGCTCAGCAGGAAGTCCTCCGGACCCTGGCCCTGCTGCTCACCAGAGATGACAACGAGGTCAGCGAGGCTGTGACGCTCTACCTGGCAGCAGCCTCCAAAAACGAGCACTTCAGAGAAAAGGTAGGATGCTAAGCCATGGATGCCAAGCCACAGGCTTCACTGTGTGTCACGTACCATTAGCGTGCCACCGGGCTTCACCGTGGCGCTCGCCCAGGAGGCTGAAGCAGGATTGCTGAGAATTCAAGGTGGGCCTGGCATGGAGCTACCAAACCGTGCCACTAGGGTTCCTAGCATCCCATCAATTTCAAAATGACGAGAAAGGAAGAATTCAAAGCTTCCCAACCGACGGAAAGGATGGGCGTGTGAGGAGGTGGGCACCCTAGTGGGGACCAGAGCATCACACCTTGCCTTCGGTTATTGCCCTCTATCCCCCAAATCTACATAACTCTGCCAATGAAAAGCCGAAGTGGTGTGGTTTTAAAATAAAAACCATCAAAGGAAAAAAAAAATGCTCGTTAAAATAAAACCTATAATAATAACTTTGTATCTTCCAATTCTGGGTCTACAATCCTATAGAATACACCAATCAACCCTTCGAATAAACTTGTGTAATTTTCTGATTCTTTTTTTCTTACCCTGAAAACTGTGTGAAAGGCCATGCTACAGTTTATCTCAGGTGATTATATATATATATATATTTACATATAATAATATATTATTATTTTTAGAGTTAAAAATTGGTAACATTATGGATCTCTTCATTTTTATTGATAAATTTGTTGTTTAATAGTTTAATGCACAAATGAGGTGCATTCTGTGTGCTCCCACCCCACCTTCCCTCATCTCCTCCCACCTCTGTCGTGTCCACCTCCTCCCACAGATCACTTTTCCCACATTGTTTTTCTTTGACCATTGAGTTTAACCAGGGCTGTGTGTGTGTGCCCATAGGGTTGGAACTACCCATTGCAACCTAGTGGATGCACCATTCGTAACAGAGCTGAAGATAATAACTCTCCCCGAAATCCATCAGTAACCAACAGTCAGGAGGCAGGGTCCCCAGGAGCCCCTCCCAGGTCCATACCTGGCAGGCCCAGTCTTGTGCAGGCCTAGCACCCAGCTGCTGTGAAATCACGTTGGCAATAGCTGGCTCATGCCCTGAAGATGGCATTTTACAGCCTTCTCCCTATCTTATAACTCGTTCCTTCTTCTTTCGGTTTTTCAAGATAGGGTTTTTGTGTTTAGCTCTGGCTGTCCTGGAACTTGCTCTGTAGACCAGGCTGGCCTGGAACTCATGGAGATCTGCCTGCCTCTGCCTCCCAAGTGCTGGGATTAAAGGCGTGTGACAGTACTGCCCAGCTAATTCTTACATTCTTTTCTGCCCCCCTTTTTATGATATTCCTAGTCCTTTCAGGGGTGGCTTCAGAATCCTTGGGATTGAGGTTATAGCTAATGGTGAATTGTTTTGTGGGTGTCGAGAACAAAACCTGGGTCCCCTGGGAGAACAGCTAATGTTCTTCTCAGTCATCTTTCTAGACTTTTAAATATTTGAGACAGAGTCTCACGGTACAACCCTGCCTAGCTTGGAAGCTGCGACATAGATGATGCTAGCTTGGAACTCTCCAGGTACATCAGGTTGTCCTCAGATTTTCGGCAATCTTATTCCTCTCTGCATGCACATTGTGTAGAGACATACACACAGGCGGAGCATCCGTACACGTAAAATAAAAGGGGGGGTTAAAAACTTAAAAATCTATATATCACCTAGGAGAGATGATAAAAAATCTATATATCACCTCCACACTTACCCCTACCCCAGCTACCCTCCTTTGTTCCCCTGTCTTACATACACTTTGAGTGACAAGCTGTTCAAAACTTCTCACAGCATCTCCCTTTCCCCTTCAGGCCTTGCTCTATTATTGCGAAGCACTGACGAAGACCAATCTCCAGCTACAGAAGGCAGCATGCCTGGCCCTAAGAAGCCTGGAGGTAAAGCCCTGCCCCAAAGTCCTTCAGCCCCACGCCCATCCAGGCTCAAAGCCCCCATCCCTGGTCAACTTAGGGCAACACATGTCCAATCAGCTTAGAGGCAGGCCATGTCATGGGGACATATCCAATTCTTTCTCTACTCAAAGCCTCTCTTGCACGGTAGCAGCATCTCTCATTTCCTTGGAGCCGCAATAGCCAGGGTTCTTTTCTTCTTGGAACGTTGACGGCATATGATTTTGTTAAAGTCACCAAGTGGAGAATAATTATGGTTTACCATCGCCCACGAGAACCAGTGTGACGTTGGGCCAGTGCTAGAAAAGTATCTTAACCCCCAGAAGAGATGACATGGTGATTTCCCCAATGTTTACTGTGTATAAATTAGCATAGAAAAATAAAGACTGCACTGGAGTGTTTCAGCTCTGTGTGATGCTGAGTTCTCAGATATTTTCTCTTGAAATTAGCTTGGGTGTATGTCCAGCCTTTGACAGCGTGGCATGATGTCATCATCCACAAAATTCACAGCTGCATTACTTAAAAAAAAAAAAATTTAAAAAGCTACACACTGTTTTGAGATTATGATTTTGCAGGCTACACTGTTCGCCTCAGCCATACTCTGCATGTTAGGTGCACCTGATTGCCACGCAACCTCAACTGTGCTAGAGGAGGCTTCGTGAGCAAGGAGAGAGCTAAATGCTGACACAAGGAAGCAGAGGCTGCAAACACAAGCGTGGCTTTTGGCAGGCTGGATCTCATGTGTGACCCATCTTTACCACAAAAACATTAGGGGAGGTCCCAAGAAAAAGAATGAGAGGGCCACACCTTAATGCTTACTAAAACCGTAGATGGGCACATGGGACAAGGAGCAGGCCTGAGGGGACGTGAAAAAAACAAGGGATTAACGCCATAAAAGGAAAAGTTAATGATCTGTGAAGGAAAACAACCATGGGAAATTTTGCCTTCCTTGTTACTTGGTCAGAAAATTACCTTCAGGTGACACCCCCGTGCCCCCCAAAAATTCCCATTGGTTAAGTATTTATTTGGGCACTCTCCTGAGGTGCTGTGACTCATCACAGCTGAGTGTCTCTGCTACACACTTCACACGGATTACACATTAGGGTGCAGCAGCCTATATGGGTTCTACTGGACTTTCGTGCCGTAAAGCATGAAGCAGGAGCCCTGGTTTATTGGCATATTACCAGCTCACAGCCCCTGGACCCTGCTCTATTCCTTTTCTCCCTGGAGATACAGTCCCTTCTGGGAACAGGAGTCCTCTTTCCAAACCGTTCATAATTTGCCCTACCTCCCATCCCCCAGCTAGGAAAGTCGGGCACTAACCTATTTTCCCTGGCAGGCCACCGAAAGCATTAAAATGCTAGTGACACTGTGTCAGTCTGACACGGAAGAGATCAGAAACGTGGCCTCGGAAACCCTCTTATCCCTTGGTGAGTTGTTTTCGTGTGTCTGCTTACTTCTGCTCCTCCCCTGGGAATCAAAAGGAAGGTTCATGTCACCTGCTTCCTCCACTGTGTGAATGCTCACTGCTCCTAGAAGAACTCGATTGTGTCCAGATCTTGCCCCTGCCCCTCATTCTCTCTGCACAAGAATCGAAGTTTTTCTCCCTTGTTATCTCCAAGACTTGATCGGTCTATGTCCTGTTTAGAATCAAGACTAGGATCTGAGAGTGGCGACTCATGCCTGTAAACCCAGCACTGAAGAGGCTGCGGCAGGAGAAGCACCTCAAGTTCAAGGACAGCTTAGGCTGCACAGTGAGACTGTCTCGTGAAAGCAAAAATGCTAGAACCTGGAACACAGAAGCCCAGTGGGAACTGTGGAAATCGAAGCTTGGCTGCCAGTGTAGGGACGGCCAAAGTCCCACAGGGAGCGCTGTGTGGCCCAGGGCCTCCACCTCACAGAGACCTCTGGTCGCCCTGCTGTCCCGTTCTCACTGGTGTTATTTCATCCTGGAATATCCATATAACCCTCTCCTTCGCTTTGTGAGAGTCCATGCCCTTTTTTGTCCATTTTGGGTAGACTTTTCTTTTTTTTTTTTTTTTT